TTAAAACACCCTCCGTAAATGCATTAATATTTTAATTAAAACTTCAGGTGTAGATTTTAAGAGAACTATGGGTAATAGTTGTTTAAATTACGATATATTTTACGGTAATCATTCGCCCATTTCTCACTTAACCTTCTTATCACCGAAAATATAAACCGTCTAGTGAGTGTAGATTGAATAGCATTTTTGTGTTAGACTCATCATTATGTACTAACTCCTCATATCGTTAGAACATATTTTCTAGTCTTGAAAATATTTATACTTTTGAAACATTTTATTATGTTTATTATTCTAAATCTGAAAGTGAAATTATTAAAGTAAAAGAGATTAATGTGTATTAATTAAGTATTCAATGACATGGTTTAGGATAATGGATTTATCGTTATCCTACAGCTTCTTCCACACGCCAAGACTTTAATTTTTAGAAAAATAGTTTATTCGCGGTTAATAACATTGACTCCAAACTTTAGGCCTCTATTTAAAAGTTTTGGATATTATCAATAAAATAGTAATTCAAACTAATGATACATAATAAACATTAAAAACAGTAATCTTTAAATAAATAGCAATTATAATAATTATGTTTTATGCCCGAGGATTCCGCGGCAACAAATCTTGAGATTTCCAAGAAAATCTCCAGTTTTGATTATCGGGATTTTTTGTTCTTCGTGTTTTTAAATTCGCTATTTTCAAGAAAAATACTTGAATGCTCGAGAATTTGGTTTGAGAGGACAGTTGCCCTCTCTTCTAATAACCAAGATGGTACTTTTCCGTTTCGCCGGCGCAAATCTCGCCAAGCAGACTTTATTCGCGACAACACACAGTATACACATACAAAATTTTAACAAATGTTAGTTCTAAGAATTTTTATTTTTAAGGCATAAGCATTTTAATATAGTTTAAAATTTTGTAAAAAGACAATAAATTTGTAAAAAGACATTAATTTAAGAATTTACTATGCTCTCATAGTTCAACATCTTGATTCACCGGTTCATATCACGTGACCTCAAGTGATCTCTTCTCACGCTAGAAAAATCTAATTCTCTCAGTAATTAATCTACATTAATTTCAATTTTCAAAAGATTTAAATCTTCTGAAAAACAAGTTTAAATACAAGAATTATTTCAAAATTCGTAAGAATAGCTTACTCAGAAGTTTACTTCGCTAGTGCATTCTTATTAGAATCGATTAATTTAACCCTTTTCTATATTTTCGCCTTCGGGTGAGCGGTGTGATTGCACCCTAATTAATTTAATTACCGCGAATGGCCTTAGGGCATAAAATTGAACTCTCTGGTAAAAGTTCTATTTAATTGTATGCCAGTTATGAAAGAAACAATCAATCTGATAAGAAATGGCTGAGACTTGTTTTGAAAATGAGGCGTAGAAGGTTACCAGCGAGGATATTCCGTTTGGCATCGGGTGTACAAGTTTTGGGGACTTTATCGCCTGCGGTGGAAAAATAGAAAAGTACCAACAAGGTTGCTCTTAGACATTATAAGATCTATAATGATAATCTATAAAAAAAGATATATAAAGATAATCTATAATGTCCAAATTGCTCATGGACATTATAGCATGTGTCGAAATATATTTTAAAATTTAGTAATAGTAGTAAGGAGATTCACAAGATTAGCATCAGCCCAAAAATAAGGAGGACCACACATGAGTATAAACAAAACCATGCAAAAATGCTGAGGTACGAAATTCTTGTACTACAAAGAAATACGTAGTAACGTTGACTATGATGACGTTTCTGCGTTATAGAAAATAGATCCATGGAATAGGAGGTGGGTAAAACCCCACTTTTATAACATCTAATCAGAACCGTTCGCTCACTGAACTGAATCGGTTCTTTTTTACCACTCAATGTTCACTAACAATAACCTTGAGGAATAAGGTCGGAAAGCGGAGTGAATCAAGAGTGATGCGCGAAGTTAAGAGCGGAGAAAATTGAACAAAGAGTAGGATTGAAAGAATCGTCACAATTCAATCTCTAACAATGAAAGTCTGGAATATTTTTAAACAAATACAAATTATCGACAAAATTTAGCTTAAAGGAGCGGTAGTTTAAAAATTTAATTTTCTTATATTGATGAGGTACGCCCTTTTAAGATATTAAAGTCAACCTCATGCATGTGTATCAACAAAAATGTGATATCGTGTTTCTTATAATCACTTATAACGGACCTATAATATATATATATATGTGTGTGTGTGTGTGGTGTGTGTGTGTGTGTGTGTGTAATAATAAAATTCCATAGTTAAGAATACACTTAAAATTCTAACTGTACGTTCTTTTCATTTTTAATGGCGACGGTATCTTATTTGAAAGTACGTGGAATTAAATCCACAGCCCCGTAGTCAAGTTGTTTTTCCCGCCTTTTCTACACGTACAGTTATAGAAAGTTCTGGAGATATTTAAAGCGAACTGGAATGGCTGACGTCATTTCTTGGAAGCTCCGCCTTTCCAGAGGCAATAAAAGGGCTCGCAAAGTAATATCGGGTTCTTTTCTTAAATGTAACGATGCAGTAAACTTCATACAATATTATTAGTAATTCTTTTTTATTTACTCCGGAGATCTTAATTTTTGTAACTGCTATTTTCTTCTAAAATATAATAAATGAATCCTGTTTTTTAAACTTATCGTCTGATAATTTAACCTACGACTACATCTATGATTCTTCACCAATCTATTTTATTCCGGACAAAAGCTGGTACATCACATATATATATATAATTTCTGCTCTACTACAAATCAATAACACCTCTTCAAGGAATTCGGTAAAAAAAGAGGTTTTCTGCAACAGGTTAGCTTATCCTATAGAATAAGTTTGTAATCATTTAATGAAATAAGTATAATTTCACAATAACTCATCTCCTAGAATAGTTTTGTAATCAAAATAATTTTTGTGATCGCTTAATGAAATACTTACGACTTTTCGATTAGTTGTCTTATCCAACAGAATAGTTTTGTTATCATGTAGTGAAGTGCATTCGCTTTCTAACACCTTAGCGATATAACATTAAAATAATTCTGTAATTAAGGTAATTTGTGATTATTTTATAAAATATATATGCTTCCGCAATAGATTATCTGACCCCATAGAATAATTTTGTCATCAAAGTTATTTTGCAATCTTTTAAGGAAGAGAGTACGTTTTCTCAATAGCTTAGAGTACTTATCGGTAATAGGTACCACGTATTGGCGACTGCTTTTCTAAGTTATCGCCAACTTCAACATTGGCGATAATGTCCGATACGATGAAATCATATGCTTGATTCATTCAAAATGTATTTGAATTACAATGGTTTTAATAAGCTTTACTTAACAGAAAGAAAAGTATTGCGTCCTGTTACCAGGAGTAACAACAGAAATTCGATACAAACTTTGTAATAAAAATTTAAATTACAATAGAGTTGGATCAACATTACTTATGAAAAAATCGTTTTTCCTTCGAAATTTTTGGCTGCCTTTAGTCTGCTATTGCCGATAAAATTTCACCCACTTTATTACTAACGGCTACACTCGGCCACATAAATTCTGCGAAATACGCGTCCAACTGATGTCTCGCAGTTCCGCTAATCTTCTTGTTCGGTCATTACACGGATCAGCACAGCCTATCCGCGTATGCGCTCCGGTTTCCGGATCCACGAAGTTATGTCGATGGTTTGTTTTCTAATATTCAAAATCAGCTTTTTTTAATTCTTCGGTTTTTTAGCTACGCCAGCAATATAAAAACATCGTTGAGACATCCTGTGCAACAATTTCTCGAAATAGCGTGCTTATTTTATTTTCCGATCGGACACTGAACGCAAAAAGCATTTCTTCGTTTTATCGGCAAATGTCGTCAAACACCCATTGCTTGAGAAATAATCGGCCACAATTACTTTTCATTTCGAGAACAGACTTTCGATTTTAATTCGACTTTCGATTTCGATTTCATCGATTTTAATAATTAGACTTCCCTCTTCGCCTAATATTCTTCGTTGAACGCTTCTGCAAGTACTGGAAGCAAATTTCCCGCATATAATTGTTCCAATCTACGTTACTTTCTGAATTGAAATCCATTGGATGTTGGCACCAAGACACAGAAGTAAGTTCTTCTGCCTAACAGTAAATAAAGCGCAAGGCTTCTTTAAATGTAATCCTAGACCACCCCCCAAAAAACACGCTAACACCAACAGTATGCCGACAACGTTATACCTCAGGCGACATTTCTTACCTACTTATAACCTCACTACGTGGCCGTTTCAATATAAACAGTTTCGTAGTAAAATGTCCTTCTCTTGGAAGAAACTTATACCATCTTTTCTTCCTTCCTCGGTAAATTCCAGATTTTCATCATTGTCGCAAAATGGAGGAAAACCCAGATATCAGTATAACAGGAATAAAATGATAATAAATTCGAACAAACCACTAATAAGAAGTTACCGATTTTTGAAAATAAGCTCCACCTATATGTATTATCGATAGCCAGTTACCTGCGTAAACCAGAATCTGGTGTTATTCCTTCGGGTAGGCGAACTTGGCTTCAGGTCCCTATAAGCGATAAATACTTAGCTTTCTGATAGATAATTTTGTTATCCTTCCATGAAATGCATATATTTCTGCAAATGCATGTATTACATTGAATGAAATGCATATATTACAATAGCCTAGCTTATCCGATAGAATAATTTTGTAATCATAGTGTTCTTGTGATCATTTAACCCTTTTATTGCCAATCACGCACAGGCTCGTGATGGTTCCTGTGGCTTCCTTAAAGAAGTGCATATGTTTCTGCAGAAACTTATAAAGTAATAATTTAATAAATTAGATAAGGCTGAAGAAAATATATGGCTGCATAGGAGAGATTTGAACGACTTGACGTGCAAAATAATAGACAAACATTATACATGATAATGGAAATCGTAAATGAAAAAATAGCCCGTAAGAGTCTGGCCATGGGCACCTTTCTCTGTTCTCGATTGCTCTAAAAACAATTATTTTTTCATACTTGTACTAAATCTTCCCATCTTGTTTTTCCTAATCCAATATTTTTCATAGCTTTCATGGAGGCTTTTCTTTGCTCTGACCATTCGACGCCATTTTTACCACCGAAACCTGAATGAAAAATGAAAGAAAATATAATAAAATTTGAAAAATGGGCTGAATTAAAAAATGCACAACTAGAGCATAAAGAAGAAATTATGACAAGATTTTAAAATAATTTTAATTAGAAATAGTTACAATAAATATTTTCCAGAATAGCATAATAAATATTACATATTATGCAGTAGCAAATCTACTGCATGTGTCCGAACATAACATGATGCATGTAAGCTGAGAGCTACAATTTGATGGAAAAATTCAGTTAAAGAGAAAAACTCATAATATAAGCCCAATTTAAAGCTGCCCTGTAAATCCAGCTGCATATCACCAAAAGATCGAATAGGACGTTGTTTAATTTATCCACATCCTATCAGACTAGACAAAGGTGAATGCCAAGTCTTCGGTCGTCGGACATAGATACCAAGAAATTAGATATTAGAATATCAAGAAATTAGAATATCAGAATTAAATAAAAAATATTTTTCATGCATGTTACCGTAACAGGACAGAACAGGAAACCACGAAAAAAGCAGCTGCACCGTCATGATGTCTTATCAGCTCAATTGCTTGTTACATGGGAGTATCCACTGTCTGCTGTCATAAGAGTCGAAGACTTATGCTATCTTAACAGTCAAAGATAAGACTACATATAAGCAATCATATCATCAGATAAATGAAGACTTTTCATTTAATTGTAAGGAATTAATTGCATTCCGCCATTCATATTTTCATGGTTTAAGTGGTTAGTAAGTTAACTGAAAGATCTGCTGTTTAGACTGGGCGAGTATATTTTTATTTCTTGCATCACCAAAGCTTAACATTCCGTACAATGGGCTCCAGAATTAAAATGCAGTAGATAATAATTCCTTGATACTGGTTTGCTTTGCCGGTATCATGCTTTTACGCCCTTTTAAGTGGTAGAGAAAATAACGAATTAATCGCCTTCTCTAATATGTGTTCTCGTCCCTATCATGCCCAACTAGCAAAACTGTAGATGAAATTCAGCAAGAATGTAGAACCATTAAGAGTCTCTTAGTAGAAATCACGGAATATCAGCAGTCCCTCTCCAGGGCTCGAATACCGGAGCTTCCAAATGCTAGCTGGATATGCTTTTCAATTACACCACCAAGGTATGCGGTAACGAAGGGAAGAATTCCTTCCTTTCTCCCCCACTTAAGGGGTGACAGGGCAAGAGGTGATACAGTCGCCAAATCCTGGTAGCAACGAATTATCATCAGTACCTGTTATGAATTAGTTCACAAAAAAAGGTAAGTGGACTGTAATATATCACTTGTTTATTTTACATAACACTTTGAAATAGAAGGAATGCCGTCCATGTGACGACACAGCTCACATCACTCCATGCACAGTAGCAATTAATAAAACAAAAAAAGAATAGAATACAAATCACATAAATTATGAGTTGAAAGTTCGTTACCATAGCAACCAGAATTGAATCATCAGGCGGCAACGCCATCTAATGTTGCAAAGACACACTAGTAATTCGTTTGGTACGAAAAATACTAAACATAGCCCCCGGCCTTGAAGCCTTCTAAGGGTTCAAAAAAGACAAATAGTTAAAGCATACATAATAACATTAACAAAAAAAAAATTAATTGAAAATATAACTAAAATTAAAGTTCAATAATATGAAAAAAGTCAATAGTTCATAGTTCATATTAGTCATGATTGGGGATAAGACACAATTTAGTAACAGCTCGTTTGAAATCACCAGCGGCTGTATGGATTGTAGCCACTCGAACTTTTTTATCACTACCTGGATGAATTAAGGCAATTCTTCCAATTTTCCATTGGTTTGGAGGCAGTTGTTCGTTTTTGATCAGAACTAAATCACCACATTTTAGATTTGGAGACGCACGAAACCACTTAGCACGTTGTTGAAGTGTTGTTAAATATTCTGCACACCATCGTTTCCAAAAATGTTGCACAGTCTGTTGAACTAGAGACCAACGTTTAAGTCGTGAAGATTTCACATCACTCAAGTCAGATTCCGGAATGGCAAGCAAAGGGGCTCCAATCAGAAAATGACCTGGAGTCAATGCACTAAAGTCGTTTGGATCACTAGACATCGCACAAAGAGGACGGGAATTCATACACGCTTCCACTTGTGTAAGCACTGTTAAAAATTCCTCGTAAGTTAGAAGTTTGGATCCTAATACTCGTTTAAGATGAAATTTCATGGATTTCACATTAGATTCCCACAAGCCACCGTAGTGAGGAGATGTCGGAGGATTAAATAACCAAGTTATACCTTCTGAGGTAATGTAGTCACATAATTCACTGCTTTTCTCAATGCGAGCTGCATTTTTATAAATCTCCTTCAGTTCCTTACTAGCACCTTTGAAGTTAGTAGCACAGTCACTCGAAAAATTTAGATGGTTTGCCTCGTCGGGCGATAAATCTTTTTAGAGCTGCTAAAAACGTTGAAGTTGATAAATCACTGACTAACTCCAAGTGTACAGCTTTTGTTGAGAAAACACACAAAAATGGATATGTAACACTTGAAAGTTTTTGTTCTTCTCCCAACTTGGGACTTAATAGAATATGGACCAGCATAGTCAACACCGGTGACTGCAAAAGGTCTTGATGGTTGAACTCTGGGCGAGGGTAAATCACCCATTATCTGGGTCACAGTCTTGCCTCGATTTCTAATACAAGGAATACATCTGTGAATAATCTTTCTCACTACGCTTCTCACCGCAAGAATCCAAAACTGCATTCGTAAAGTGCTTATTAATAACTCTTGACTAGCATGCAAATAATTGACATGGTAATGAGTTACGATGAGATTAGTGACATGTCCTTCCTTTGGAAGCAAAATAGGATGTTTGCTATTTTCAGGAATGTTTGCATTTTTTAAGCGACCACCTACTCGAATGACGCCTTCTTCATCAAGGAAGGGAGTTAATTGTATTACTCGGCTGCTCACACCTTTTAATTCTCTCGATGTTTTTAAATAAGAGAGCTCTTGAGGAAAATATGATTCTTGGACATTTTTTATCACTGTTTTTGTAGCTAATCGAAGCTCATCGGTTGTCAGAAAACCTCTCAAACGATTTTCGGAGAAGTTTCGACAGTTGTAAATAAATCTTAGGCATAATGCAACTATACGACGTAATTTTGTCCAAGATGAATACCGTTTAAAAATGTCATTTTCCTTTACCGCACAAGATACTGAAATGCAAGTTTTTCTTTCTTCTCTACGAACTCCTTCATAATCTACATCAGAAAGATGTTCACTGTCAGGACATGGTTCGAAATCTTGTGAATATAACCAAGTAGGTCCAATGAACCATCGTTCACACTTCAGAAATTCTGCTGGAAACATTCCTCTTGTACCTGAATCAGCTGGGTTCCGCTTTCCATTGATATGGTTCCACCTTACATTAGGAATTGTATTCTGTATTTTAGCAACGCGGTTTGCAACAAAGGGAACCCAACGGTATGGTTCTGCAGAAATCCAGGACAGTACAACAGTTGAATCTGTCCAGGCCAAAACTTTACGTATAGGAAACTCTAAATGTTCTAACACTGATTTAAGCAAATTCACTAACAAAACTGCGGCGCATAACTCTAATCGAGGTAATGATTGCACTTTCAGAGGAGCAACTCTTGTTTTTGATGTTAAGAGTGTTACTTTGATGTCCAAATTACGTGACACTGAACGCAAATAAATTGCTGCACAGTAGCCTTTCTCGGAGGCATCACAAAAAAGCACAGATATCAATATAGTTCACATCAGGAATCAAAACAAATCTCGGTATTTTTAATTGTTGAATAAGATGTAAATCATTTCGGAAAGTCTTCCATTTGTTAGCAATCTCATAACTAACAGGTTCATCCCACGATAAATGGAGTTTCCACATCTCTTGTATCAAGATTTTGACATAAATAATACAAGGAGCAAGCCAACCCAATGGGTCAAATATTTTCGCTAAATCAGAAAGGATATCTCTTTTAGAGTATTTAAGCTTTTCACCAGAAATGGATACGGAAAAGTTAAAGTAGTCTTCACGGGGGTTCCAATTAATTCCTAAAACTTTGATTGAGCTATCGTCTTGAATTTTCATAGCCTCAGAATCATTTCTCAACTCCTGGGGTATATTCTCTAACACTGACAAGTCATTGGATGACCATTTACGCAGAAGAAATCCTCCACGTTCCAACATTTGCAAGAGTTGATTTACTAGATTTTTTGCACTCTTCAGTGTTTTGAGCACCTACCAAACAATCATCTACAAAAAAGTTTTGAAGTACAGCCTTCGAAGCTAAAGGATAGTTATTCTGCTCATCGTAGGCAAGTTGGTATAAAGCACGAGTAGCCAAATATGGAGCCGAGGCAGTGCCGTATGTGACAGTATTAAGTCGAAATTCTTGAATAGGATCACTTGGACGGTCCCGCCACCAAAATATCCTTTGAAAGTTTCTATCCTCTTCATTAACTAGAATTTGTCTAAACATTTTCATGATATCAGCTGTGACAACTACTGGGTAACATCTGAATTTGACCAAAACTGGAAACAGCTCTTGTTGTATTCTGGGACCTGTCATCAATATGTCGTTAAGAGACAGTCCTGATGAAGACTTACTAGTAGCATTAAATACCACACGTATTTTACTCGTAGAGCTAGATTCCTTAATTACTGCATGATGTGGCATGTAGTATGCCTGACTTGGGGACTCTGAACTACGGACTGGTTCCATGTGCCCGAGATCCAAGTATTCCTTCATGAAATGTTTATACATATCATATGTATCAGGAGATCTTAAGAGATTTCTCTCTAAAGATTTAAATCTTTGTAAAGCAAGATCTTTAGAATTACCCAACCTTGAAGGGTTATCTTTAAATGGAAGTTTCACTACATAACGACCATTTTGATCACGGAAGTGTGTTGTTTTAAAGAACTCTTCACATTTTTTATCTTCACTTGAAATACGTTTGACTTCCGGAATGGAGTCTAAAGACCAAAATCTTTCAACTAATTCGTTTG